TCGAAATCCTGGGCCACGAAGCCCAGCCGGCTCTTATGCGGCACGTCCGTGCGGTCGTAGTACTTGGGCGCGGCCCCGTCGAAGATGGCTTGCAGCTCCTCCAGGTCCGCTTCTCTGATGTTCTGCTTCAGCCTGGCGTCGCTGAGGGCGTTGAGACCGTAGTTATAGGTGAGATCGCCGTCCGTCTCCACGACCACCGGCGCGGCGCCGCTGGCCTGGTTCTGCAGCGAGATTTGCTGCCCCGGCGCGGTCAGGCTGCAGCCCCCAGCGCTGTCCACGTCCAGCCGCGCGAAGCCCGTGGAGTTGTTGGCGTCCAGCTGCAGGCGCGCCACGCCGCTGGCCGCCGTGTTCTTCAGAACCGCGCCGGCGACGCTTGCTGGCGCCGAGTCGGTGACGCTGAGGATCCTGGTCAAGCACTGCGTCTCTGCTGCTTCTATCTTGAGGAGCTCGTTGTTGGAGCCGTCCATGACTCTGGTGCCCGTGGTGCCGCCCACGAGGCTCAGGTAGATCTGCCCCGCATCTGTGGCCAGCACCGGCGTCGTAACTTGCGCGGTAGCCCTGGCGATGCCCGCAACTGCCAGCCCGGCACCTATAACGCTGACTCCGTTCACTCCGCCGCTGATTGTCAGCAGGTTATCCCCCGGCCTCGCCGAGACGGCGTTCGTCTTCAGCCCCGCGGCAGTGCCAGAGACGTCATCGATAAAGATCTCCTCGTCCACTCTCAGCCTCGGGGCGCCGCCCAGGAAGTTTTCCACGAGGCCGAAGTTGGCCAGTGAGGTGGTATCCTGGGCCTCAATGCGAACGTTCGTGCTGCCGGCGCGCAGCGTCAGCGCGGTGCCGGAGCCGTGCACGGCGCCCGTCACCACAGGGTCTGGCACGCCGCCGCTGGCTTCCAGGCTGGAGAGCCGCGTCTCGTGGTCGATCACTTGCAGGTTCAGGTTCTGCAGGCCCGTGTCGGTGCTCATGGGCGCGAAGGTGCTGTCGGCCAGGGATCGGATGTAGAAGCGTCCGTCTGCCTCCGCCTTGGTCCAGGCGTCGCAGGTGAGCTCGGTAACGGTGCCGCTGAGGATGTGGCTCCAGCCCAGCGGCGCCCGGGGCAAAACGCCCCTCAGCTGCCGAGGCACTGCATTAGCGTCACGAATTATTGTGAATACTTCGCTGGAGCCGGCGTTGGCATTAGTCACCAGATAGCGCCCATCCAGGGCGCCGGTGTAACCTGTGGAGCTCAGGTAGCGCCCGTCGGCTTCGGCCTTCGAGTAAGCGTCACAACGGAGCTCCGTGATGGTGCCGGAGAACAGGTAGCTCCAGGCCAGGGGCGCCCTGGGCAGGATGCCCCTGATTTGCCGCGGGATGGAGACGCTGTCGCGGACCAGG